GCCAGGAGACTACCGTCTCTGCCAGGTGCTGTGCAGCAGGTAGCTCGGGGCGGGTTCATTGACGGAGGGGGGGGAGTGCGAGAGAGGTAACCACGAGCCTGCCCTGGCTGCCCAGTGCTCCACAGGTTTAGGTGGGTTTCAGGTTAGGGAGAGATAGCTCCTGAGAGGAATGGTTGATTGAATGAGAGTTTGAGAGAGAGGGTTGATGAGCAGAGAGCAGGGATGATGAGAGAGTGTAGGAGGTGCAATGTGATCCATGCACCACTCCCCTCTGAATCACTCCACTCCACTCCACTCCACTCCACTCCACTCCACTCCACTCCACACGACGGGATGGCAGGGCATGTCCACCAGCACGTGTCAAGCACACGAACGAAACTGGCGCAAGCTAAGCATCTCGCAACCCAAGCATAAGGCAGTTGAGAACTGACCAGTTGACAGGGCGAGTGACTGCCCCTCCTCCCGTGGCCACCACGAGTCGCCCCATGGACGACAGCTCCGCCAGCACTCGTGTCTGTGCTCGGTGGGAGGGAGGGATGGGGACAGGGAGGGACGCGAATGAAAGAGGAGGAGACGGGATAAGAGGGAAGGGAGTGGGAGAAGGGAGGGGAGGGGAGGGGAGGGAAGAGGAGGGGACGGGAGGAGAGCGGAGGGGGATGCTGAGGTGAGGGCGAAGAGAAGGTGCATGTAATTGCGTGGACCCATTGACGATGGCTTGGCTTGGCTTGGCTTGGCTTGGCTTGGCTTGGCTTGGCTTGGCTTGGCTTGGCTTGGCTTGGCTTGGCTTGGCTTGGCTTGGCTTGGCTTGGCTTGGCTTGGCTTGGCTTGGCTTGGCTTGGCTTGGCTTGGCTTGGCTTGGCTTTGCTTTGCAAATCCAAGCTGCACTGCTGGCCCGCTCGCAGAAAGGTTCAGGTCTGCTTTATATTAAGAAAAGAACCACTTTGCCAAGTTCGCTTAGCTGGCTGATAAACACGAGCTCGTCTGGAAACCACGTAATACACCAGCTCACACTCCTTTTTTTTCCCCCACTTCCTTCCCCCCTCTCCCTTCCCCCTCCCCTTCCCTCTCCCACACTCCCTTCCCGCCACTCTGTTCCCCCCTCTCATTTCCCCCCCACCCTCCTCCCTTCCCCCTTCTCCCGTCCTCCCTCTCCTCCCCCGCTCTCCGCACCTCGAGCTGGCGGAACTCCTCTTCGCCATTCTCTGCAAAGATCTGCGCCACCGACGCGCCCCCTGCTGCCGCCTCAACCACTCGGTCACTGCCGGGCAGGGGGGCGAGGGGGGAGAAAAAGAGGCAGGGGAGGCACGGCGAGAGGATGCAAGGCAAGGCATGGAAAGGAACAGGAGATGAAAGGGTGATGATACAGAGATTAGAGGCATGGAAGGAGGGTAGCAGAAGAGGGTGTTTGGCACAAGAGGGTGTTTGGCACAAGAGGGTGTTTGGCACAAGAGCATGAATGCTGAAGCGTGTCTGAGGGAGATCAGCGTGTAGCATGTGTACTATGCATGCGCCACATGCTTATTGTGGAAAGAAAAAGCAAGCGTCGGTGAGATGCGAAAGCAGGCAGAGACGTACAGATGACATAGAGAGGAAGAGAGCGTGCGGAGAGGTGGAGGGAGGGAGGGAGGGAGGGACGGAGAGAGGGAGGGAGGGACGGACGGATGGAGGGACGTAGAGAGGGAGGGAGCGAGGGAGGTAGGGAGGGAGGGAGGGACGGAGAGAGAGAGAGGGAGGGAGGGAGGGAGGGAGGGAGGGAGGGAGGGAGGGAGGGAGGGAGGGAGGGAGGGAAGGGAAATGGCAAGAGGGGCCCCACCCCATCCCACGCACCTGTCGAAGAAGCAGTAGCCGAGCAGGTCAGCGAGGAGTGTGCCCACTGTGGTCTTGCCACTGCCCATCATTCCTGCTCGCACCATGTGGCACATGCATTGATGATGGGATGCACGCATGGGTGATGCCTGTAACGGTCGGACAGATGCAATATGGAGTCATGTGCTAAGAGTGATGCAAACATAGAGTGATGCGATAAGAAATCGGTACAGTGGTGCCAAACATGGAATATGCCGTGCCACAGAAGAGGGTGAGGAGGCAAAGAGGGTGAGGAGGCAAAGAGGGTGGTTTGTTGGACGAGGCAGTGTGGCATGGCACGCACCGACGAGGAAGATGCTGGTGCCCTTCAGATCGCCCACCAGTGACCGCGCCTTCTCCTGCTTGCATGCTCGCCCCCCCCCCCCCCCCCCCCCCCCCCCCCCCCCCCCCCCCCACACACACACGCACACACACACACACACACACACACCGACACAGAAAGAAGCGGCAGAAACTGGCTTGATAGACGCACGCTACATGACGACTGGCAATGGGCAGGATCGGATTGTTAATGAGCAGGCAGTTACCACGTGGAGATGGGGGCAGTGCCACGTGCGCACCCTGTACAACCTCACGAGTGGCGGCAGTAGAGCCATACCTGTGAATTCTGCCAGCCGCAGCGCACAGCGCATGCTCGCAGCTGCAACCAAGACATCGCAGAGGGCAATCCCGCAATCCCAAGGTCCTCACTCACAGCCTCACCTGTGCCGCTGCTCGCTCCTTCGCTTCCTTAAACACAACGTCCGACGATGACGACGACGTCGCATTGTCGCCTGCGCGGCACCGAGCAAGGAGTGCGACGGGGATTGAGGGTTTATGCGCAATGCGACAAGAAAGAACGTGCGCAGCCGTGGACGAGAGCAACTCGAGGAGGGACGGCGCGGCGCATAAGCATGGGAGAAAGAGGAGGAGCTTATAAGGGCTCGCTAGAGGGGAATGCGAGCGACGAGCTAAGCCTCACTGAAACGGACCCAGCAATCGCAGCGTCCCTTTCGTTCACCGTGGTCAGTTGGATCGCATCTGCTGCCCTCACCTGTGCTCGCGCGGGTTCGCAGGCGCCATGCACGGTGCTTGTGCGACTCCTGCCGCGCGGACGGCCTCGCTGCGCTGGCTAGCGCGGAGGCATCGAGGTGCGCCGCAAGACGCGCGTCCCGCGGAAATGCGCGCGCTGTGGCGACTTGCGAGACGTGCGACACATGCGAGGCGCGGCTTGAAGTCGCACGATCGAGGGAAAGGATTGCTGGCGAAGCGGATTGCACGGGTGCTGCGACCGCAAGCGCCATGTTAGCAGCCAGCGAGGGTTTAGGTGCTCCTCAAGCTGAGCACTGGCAGCGAATAAAATAACCAGGAAATCCGTAATAGAGCAAACTTGTAAGCGTGGTTTCAATGTTGAGGTTCTACAGTTTGCGCGTCATTCGAATTTTGAGCACGTCTCTAGGCGAAGGTGCAATGCCAAACGGCATTTTGTTTTTTTTTATACGCCACGACCAATTTGTCGCCTTTTCTGTCACCTAAACCGACTTCATGTCGTCTCGGTTCTGAAACGCGGCAGAGCTTGGTGGCTACTAGGTCGTTCGTGGCACACGACGAAGCGAAGTTCGAACTGGTCCATGGTTTTTGCGATTCGTAACCCTAAGCCGCGAGTGTGCGAAACGTGCAGAACATGTTCCCAACTAAATAAGCAGCCACCTCCCTGGTCGTTCAACCGCGAAAAGCTGGTAATTTGAGGAACCAAGTTTTCGTCAACGTAGGCGACACACGATGTGATAAGAACTCATTCCTGGTTTGCTCTCGTTGGCGATCGAAATCTGACAGACAACGGCCTCGCCCGCGGCTCTTCCTGGCGCCAATCACGCCTCCGCGAATTTCGCTATTGCCTGTATCAACGAATCTGCGAATGTGTGAGCTGTGAATGGCAGGCTTCTTACGAATGGCAGGCTTCTTACACCAGTAACGCCAAGCAATGCTCCCTACCTAATCATTCTCTGGTCTGGCGTCAGCGTATCATGCTTGTACGGTAACTGACGTCAGGAATGGACGCGAGGCGGCACTTTCCTAGAGTCCGGCCGACACACTTGCGCGGAGTTTCCGGAGCCACGCGATGGATGGTTACCGCCGCGACGAACCTCGCCTTTTCGCGAACCACGAGATTAGGGTTGCTCTTCGCGATACCGACCCTGTTGCTGCTGCTCGCGGCGAACCGCACATCCTTGCCCCATAGCGCGCTGCCACGTGGACCAGAAAGTATAGGAGCAGGCGAGAGGGAGGACACGTCGCACGGCGCAGGCGACGCGGTGCGACGAGAGGCTCTGTTGGTGGCGGGCGATGGGAGATTGGCGTCGCCAGCACAGCCATCCGTATCCTCCGCATCATCAGTATCGGCAGCAGGAGGAGGTTTGGAAGAAAAAGCTGGTTCAAGCTTGGCAGCCAGTGCGGCAGCGGGCGTACCTGCAGGGCAAGGCGAGGGCGTGGGAGCGAGGGGGGATGGATCGCTTGACGAACCATCCCATGGCGGAGCGGAGGAAGAGGCTGAGGCGGGTAGTGGCGACTTCCAGCTGCAGCAGGAGCAGGTGGAGCAGCAGCAGCAGGTGCAACGGCAAAGAAGCACGACCCCTGGAAGCAGCAACGGAAATGAGAGACTAGGCATCAGGTCTGGCAGCAGCACCGGTGATTCACCTGCCACACACCATAGCAACCACAAGCCCACGACTGGCGGAAGCAGCAGCAGCAGCAGGTGGAGTGAGACGAGCAGCGCGGAGGGCGGAGAGGATGCGTGCAGGGGGCGGCGCATATTCATTCTGGACCTCCCCCCCAGGTTCAACCTCGACCTGCTCGCCCAATGCCCCAATGTGTGCCCGCCCTCCGCCCACCCGCACTTAGCTGCCTGCCATGGCATGGGGCTGCCCATCCCCGCTGCTGCCAGCATCTCTGTACGCCATACAAGGCGCTCCAGTACTGGTTTCGAGGCGCCTGACGCTTCAGATTCTTTTGCCAGATCCAAGCGCAGAGAACGAAGGAAGAAATGGGGGAAGTGGGACAGGAGGAAGAAGGGGGGCAGCAGAGGCAGTTCGAGTTACAGCCACAGCAGGAAGACGCTTGCAACAGCAACCGATGCTGAGTCATCAGACATTCTCATGGTGTCAGAAGACTCTAGAGCTGAGTCAGCAGACATAACCGCTGACTCATCAAACACAAGCACTGAGTCAGCAGACTCAACCGCTGAGCCAGAAGACTCCCACAAACCCACCACCGAGGTGGACATAGGCGGCCCCGGGTGGTATACCACGAGCCAGTTCGCCCTGGAGCGGCTGTTCCACGTGCGGCTGCAGCAGTACGCGTGCCTGACGCCCCACCGCGCAGCAGCACAGCTGGTGTACGTGCCCTACTACCCCGGCTACGATGTCAAGCGCCACCTCTCCTCCGCGCCCAACTGCTCCGTCACCGACGCCCTGGGCCGAGCTGCACTGGATGCTGCCTTTGCTGCTCAGGGGAATGGTGCTGGTGCTGCTCAGGATGGGAATGGGGATGGTGGTTATGGCGCTTCTACTGCTACTGCCTCCGGTAGTGGCGGTGGTGGTGGTGACTCTGCTGCTGCTTCTGTTGCGTCCGCCTCGCCTCCACTCCTCCTACTCCTTGGCCACATTGCCATGGAGTTTTTCCGCTTCCCCTACCAGACCTGCCCCGGACCAGGCTCGGCACTGCTTCGGGACCCGCGGCTGGTTCGGCAAGGCAATGCTGTGATTGTGGGGATAGAGGCGTACCCTGAAGGTGTTCTTGTAACGAGCGTGCCCTATCCGAGCTACTTCCACCCTCGGACCAGGGGTGAATTGGATGAATGGCGGAGCAAGGTGATGGGGGGAAAATGGGATGAGGGGGAATGGGAGGAAGGAGAGTGGGGTGTGGAGGAGAGAGAGGAGGGAAGCGGGGGTGAAGAGGACGGTGAGGGGGGGATAGGGGTAGAGGGAGAGGCGGAGGAGGTGGTGAGAACATTGGAGCGTAAGCTTGGGGAAGAGGAGGATGAGGATGAGGAAGATGGTGATGGGGATGGTGGCAGTGAGGGGGATCAAGTTGAGGAGATTTGGAAGAAGCTGAAACGTCAAGTGTATGGGCAGGAGGAGAGTGACGGTGTGGAGAAGACTGGTGAGGAGAAACTAGTGGAGGAGAGGAATGATGGGGAGGAGGGATCGGATATGGAGAAGGCGGAGGAACAGGAGAGTGTGGAAGGGACGGAGGAGAATAGAAAGGTGGAGGAAGAGGAAGGTGAGGGAGATGATGGTGATGACGATGCAGAGGAGGAGGAGGAGGCAACGCAGGGAGAGAAAGGGAGGGATAGGCAGAGGGGAGACGAGGAAGAGGACGAAAAGGAGGGGGAGAAAGAAGAGGAGGAGGTGGAGGATGTTGTGAGGCAGGTGTGGGAGAAGCTGCAGAGGGAGGTGCTGGGTGATACCGATGAGGGGGTGGGTGATACCGATGAGGTGCTGGGTGAGAGGGAGAGGCACGAGAAAGAGATAGAGGAAAAGGAAGAGGGAGAGGAAGAGATAGAGGAAAAGGAAGAGGGAGTGGAAGAGATAGAGGAAAAGGAAGAGGGAGAGGAAGACGAAGTGGAAGGGGTAGGGGAGGGTGAAACGATGAGAAGGGTTTCGGAGGGAGAGAGTAAAGTAAAGGAGACGAAAGGGGAGGAGGATGAGGACGAGGATGAAGATGGTGTGAAGCAAACTTGGTTGAAGCTGAAGAGGGAGGTGCTGGGAGATACAGACGATGCTGGGGTGGGTGAGGACATGGAGCGAAAAGAGAGGGGAAGCGAGGAAAATGGGGTTGAGGGAGGAGGAAAGGAGGAGAGGGAAGAGCAGGGGCGAGAGGAGGAGGGAGACGATGGGGGAGAGGAGAAGCAAGTGGGGGAAGAAGATGGGGAGGAAGAAGGGGACGTGAAGGAGAAGAGCAGTGCAAGGGAGCAGGGAGGGGAGGGCGAGGTGGCAGAGGGCAGCAGAGGTTACAAAGGGTCCGGGCAGGGTGAAAAAATGGATGGAGAAGGAGAGGGAGGCGAGCATGAGGAAGGGGAGGGAGTAGAAGCAGCAGATGAGGGAGATGGGGACGAGGGAGAAGGAGCGGAGGAAGAAGGAGGAAAAGGAGATGAGGAAGAGGGAGAAGAAGAGAAGGATGGGGAAGAAGAAGAGGAGGAGAACAGAGAGGGGGAAACAAGCAGTGGGAAGAAGACAGCTGAAAATGCAGGGCCCACCTTACGGCAGAGAGGAAAGCCGAAGAAAAGATTCCTTGGAAAAGGGGGAGGGGGAGCGAGGGAAGGCGGTGGTGGGAGTGAGGCGCTGAATAGTGAGGACGACAGAGGGAGGTTGAGGGATAGGGGGGCGAGAGACGAAGGAGCAGAGAGTGATGAGAGCGGTGAGAGCGGTGAGAGTCGGAGGACACAATACCGGCGGCGGCAGCTTGCCAGCATTAATTCACCTCGTGTTGATGGACCGAAGCATTTTAAACCACATCAGCTGCTGCGGAAGTTGCAACAGCAAAATCACCAGCAGCAACAGCAACAGCAGCAGCAGCAGCAGCGGGAACAGCAGCGGGAGCGGGAGAAGCAGCGGGCACGGGAAAAGCAACAGCGACAGCAGCAGCGTCAGCAGCAGAAGCAGCAGCGGGAACAGCAAGAGCGGCAGCAGAAGGAAGAGCACCAGCATGAGAACCATCATCAGCAGCAGCATGAGAAGCAGCAGCGGCAGCACCAACGGAGGTATCTATTTTCCTTTGTGGGCGCCAGGCGCAGCGATGTCATCTCCCAGCGAGGTGGCTCCGAGCCCGCTGCTGTGGCCGGGGCGGCACTACGAGACAAACTCATGGCCGAATGCGACGCTGCCGGGCGGCAGTGCAGATTCCTGGACTGCGCTATCCAATGCGAAGATCCAACTGGTAAACCCGGCAAGAGCGAAAACCTTCAGCAGCAGAAGCATGGGGAATGCCCAAGGGCAGAGGAGGAGGTGGCAGCAGCAGTGGCGCCGAACCCAGTGTACCTGTGCGACTACCCGCGCACTGTGATGCGCGTGCACCTGGCGTCGCTCTTCTGCCTGCAGCCCTGGGGTGACAGCCCCACCCGCCGCTCCCTCTTCGATGCCATGCTCGCAGGATGCATCCCCGTGGTCTTCTCCGATTGGTCGGTGCAACGGCAGTTCCCCTGGCACTTGCCTGTGCATGAAGTGGAGCAGATCGGGTTTGAGGTCGGGGCTTCTGGGGAGGCTGTGCCTGTGTCATCGTCCCGCTCTCCCTCAAACACGCCCTTCTACGTCTTCATTCCAGCTGAAGCCATTTTGAACGGCTCTGCCAACCTGGTTGCTATCCTCTCCTCCTTTCCCCCTTATAAGGTGATTCGCATGAGGCACAGAATCATGCAGCTGCTGCCTCGTCTGCTGTACAGACGAACGAGGGAGGAGGATGGGACAGTGAGGCGGGTGATAAAGAGCGACAGGGGTGAGAGCAAGGAGCAGGAAAAGGAAGAGGGGCTGTTATGGGGCACGAATGAGCTAGTGAATGCTGATACCGGTAAGGATGACACGTTCAAAGATGCTGTTGACGTGATTATAGAGCGGGCTCTTAGCCATGCTCTTGAGCTGGCTTGGGCTGCACAAGTAGCGGACGAGGAGTGAAGCATGCAGTGCAGTGCACTCTGCACTTCATTTTTTTGGCTACTTGCTTAATTCCTGTGTGACTGAAAGCGTCCCCAGGAGTTTTTCTTCACGCAGCGGAAATTAAGTTACCATTATCACCCGGATATACCCCCAGGTGGGCTTATTAAAAAGGCTGGGTGGGCTTATAATAGGGTTCAGCGCACTTGTGGACCCTCCCAAAATTACCATGAAGGACCCGTGCTCGACGTACCTACTCAAGAATATTAAGAGAATAACCCTAAGGGAAACCCTAAGGGGTTGTACCCCACATTATCTACCCCACTACAGCCTACCAATAACTACAACATATATATATGTTTGACACACCCCCATAGGCAAAGTGGGGGAGAACAAGAGGTCACAAGACCAGTCAAAAAAAGCAAAGCAAGCTCAGGGTGGATCACAACATCACCACACACTCTGAGCACAAGGGCCACAAGGCCAGTCCACATGCAGAGGTATATATGCAACAGCAACAGTACAGTGATCTCTACCTAGCAAGAGCAAGCATGCAGATATATATATATATATATATATATGTATATATATATATGGATCACAGTACAAGCAGAGTCTACAGCAAGTGTGGAAACGTAGGCACAAGGCCCAACAAAGTACAAAAGCGCTGATGGTCACCAGACGGAAGTGCCTTGGTGAATATATCAGCAGTGTTGGCCTGAGTGGCCACGTGAGCAAGGCGAAGCTGACCCCGCTGCTGCAACTCTCGAGCCAGGAAGTAACGCAGAGCGATGTGCTTCGTTCTGTGCTCCAGTCTGTGCTCCTGACACAAGGCAATGGCGGCCTTGTTGTCGACGTACAGAACTGGAGGAGAACGAGGCCTCTCTCTCTCCCAAGTCGGTCTGCAGGTAGGTGAGCCAGCGTAACTCCTGAGCAGCCATGGCGGTGGCGTAGATCTCAGCCTCACAACTGGAGCTGAGAACAGAAGACGAGCGAGTAGAACGCCAGGAAACAGAACCGGAGCCAAGGCTGAAAGTGTAACCCTGTGACGACCGCTGCGTAGCCAGGTCGTCAACCCAAGAGGCGTCTGAGTGCCCAGTGAGGACCACCTCACTCCGCCCTCCAAGCACGAGCCCCATGCCCGATGTACTGCACAAGTAACGCAGTACCCTCTTTGCAGCATCCATGTGCACCTTTCGGTGCCGACCAGGAGCCACGTAGCGAGCCAGAAGGCCAAGAGGGTACGCAAGGTCAGGACGAGTGCAGGTCATCAGGTACATGAGGCAGCCCACTAGCTCTAGGTAAGGACCACTCGGCTCTACGGACTCGTCCGAAGGTGGAGCTGAGAGCGAGTGACCTATAGCCAGAGGAGTGGACTGTGGCGAGGACCAGGTGAAGCCGAAGCGCTGAAGGACCTGCTGCACCATGTGTGACTGAGTCAGTGTGATGGTGCGGCGTGCTCAGTCCCGGGTGATCTGCAAGCCAAGGTAACTGCGCAGCTCACCCAGGTCTGTGCACGTGTGTCTCTTCTGCAGCTCCGACTTCACCAGGGCGAGAGCCTCATTGTCACCAGTAGCAAAGACCAAGTCGTCGACGTACACGAGGATGTAGAACGGCGGCAGTGAAGTGTCGGTGCGTAGAAACAGCGACGGGTCAGCTGTAGAAGGCGCGAACCCAAGAGCCGCAAGTGTAGTCCTCAGTGTGTCGTGCCACTCACGAGGCGCCTGGCGGAGACCGTAGACTGGCTGCCGGAGGCTCCACTGGGTACCAGGAGGGAACGACCCAGTGAAGCCAGGTGGGCGGCGCAGCCGGATCTCCTCGCCCAGGCTGCCCTGTAAGAAAGCTGTGCTGAAGTCCAGAGAGTGAAGCTCGTAGTCACGCTGAGCGGCAACGTGCAGCAGCATCCGAAGAGTAGTCATCTTCGGGGTGGGGGAGAAGGTCTGGAAGAAGTCAACTCCCTCTCGCTGACTGAAGCCTCGAGCAACGTAACGAGCCTTGAAGACAGGCGGAGAACCTGGAAATCCACATGCCATCGACGATGTTCGCCCCACGAGGGGGAACCTCGTCGACGTAAGTGCCTGTGGACTTCCACGATGCCATCTCTGCGTCCATGGCTGTCTGCCACTGAGAGGAGTAGGGACCCGCGATCGTCTAAGCGTAAGATCGCGGGGTAGGGATGTCTGGTGCATCCGGGTCTCCTTCAGGGGCAAGCAGCATGGCCACGAGATGAGGCGCAGCGGCCGCAAGACACTCAAGGTCCTCGTGCCTGTCCTCAAGGACGTCCGTGCCAAGAGCACACTCACCCCCGACGGACGGAGGACAGACAGACTCAGACTCAGCAACAAGGCTAGCGGCGTAGTCGAGACGACAGGCAGCAGCAAATTCAACAAGCTCAGCGACCAAGGCAGACGCAGCAGCAGACTCAAACGACGGGTCAGTGACAACAGTGGCTAACAGACGCGTGACAGTAGGGTGCTCAGCACGAAACTGGTCAGACTCAGGGTCCGCAACGTCAGGCAGAGAGGACGCAGGGGGAGACGGCAGAGGAACAGGCTGCGGAGCAGAGGAAGGACGACGGACTACGAGGTGTGTGCCGGGGACAGCCGGTTGACGCGAACGAGGAACACAACGACAGGAACGACCAGAGCGGACAGGCGAGACAGGACGAGACGCAGGCTCACGACGCTCAGCAAGACCACCTGTCTGCTCAGTGTAAGGAGAAGGAGCAGGCAGTGGTGAGCCAGGCTGTAACGGAAGACCAGTAGAAGATGGGAGGCTAAGAACCTGGTGAAGCACAGAGTCAGGCGGTGGCTGAGACGACGGAGACGGCGTAGCGAAGAACAGGCGCGGCTGTCCAGTGCCACCACCACCACCAGCTCGACTACCTCCAGCAGCTCCAACACCTCCAGCAGCTCCAGAACCCCCAGCGCCAGCTCCTCCACGACCAGCTCCACTAGCAGCAGCACCCCCAGAACCGGCACCTCCAGTCCCAGGGACTCCAGTCCCAGTGTCTCCAGCAGCAGCACCCTCACGCACAGCGCCTCTAGCCCCAGCAGCTCCAGTACCTCCAGTACGAGCACCTCCGGGACCAGGGACGTCAACAGAAGCACCTCCAGCGGCAAAACTCCGAGCTCCAGCAGCGCGACCCTGACGGCGACCGTACCAGTCATGCAGCTGCTGTGAGGTGAGAGGCACACGCGGACGAAGGCGACTGCTCCAAGGAGACCTCGCACAAGAAGTCTTAGTACCCTCAGGCGTCTCACCCCAAGACTCAGCACCCCCAGACTCCGCACACGCAGGCTCAGCACCCCCAGACGCAGCACCCCCAGGCGTAGCACCTCCAGTCTCCTCACGCGTAGGCGCAGCACCCCCAGGCTCAGCACCCTCAGGCTCCTCACGCTCAGGCTCAGCACCCCCAGGCTCCTCACGCTCAGGCTCCGCACCCCCAGGCTCAGCACCCCCAAGCTCCGCACCCCCAGGCTCCGCACCCCCAAGCTCCGCACCGCCAAGCTCGGCACCCCCAGGCTCCGCACCCCCAGGACCAGCACCCCCAGAGACAGCACCACCCCCAGCAGGACCGGAGTCACCAGTGACCTCAACAGGCGCAGGCACGGGAGGGTCTACCTGAGAAACACCTGAAGGAGCAGGACCTGGCGCGGGAAGGGGGTCTACCTGGGGAGGACCTGGAGCGAGGAAGAGCGGCGGGGGGGTGCGAGGGGAAGTACGGTAGGGAAAGAGACGGTAGAAGGGAACGGACTCGTCAAAGGTGACATCCTGAGACGCAAAGACACGGCGCGAGGCGGGGTCGTAAAACTGCCAGCCAGGCGCGTCAGAAGGAAAACCAAGGAAGACACAGGGAATGGCGCGAGCGGAGAGCTTGTCCGCGGTGGTATCGCGAACAAAGGCACGAGCACCCCAGACCCGGAAACGCGACGCATCGCCAACCTTCCCCGTCCACAGCAGTGTGGGCGAGGTCTCCGGCAAGGAGACACGGGGCCAGAGGTTGAGCTGATGCGCAGCGTACCGGACCGCAAATGGCCACAGAAAATGGGGAGCAGCCGCATGGATCATGGAGGTACGAGCGACCTCCATGACTAAGCCAATGCGGCACTCAGCAACCCCATTCTGCTGCGGAGAGGCTAGAAGCGTTAACGTCTGGGAGATGCCGTGCTCCGCACAGAAGGCTGCCAAGAGGTCGGATGAGAACTCACCACCTCTGTCAGAGTGCAGACGCAGGACAGGAAAGTCCGACTGGAACCGCTCGCGGAGCTGGAGACGAACAGCACGGATCCAGGGGATCAGAACATCAGGGACCTGACCCTTGCGCTGCAAGGGGAAGACCGTGGTGTAGCGTGTGTAGTCGTCGACAACCAGCAGGAAGTACCGCTCGCGGCCCTGCCCCTGGACGCGGGCGGGGCCCCACACGTCCAGGTGGAGAGTCTGCAGTGGAGCCTCTGTGGGAGGGAACGAGGAGGAGTGAGGAGCGGCGCGCTGCCGCCCCTCGACGCAAGGAATGCAGGGCGGCGCAGGCGAGGGAGGGAGGGTAGGCAGAGACCTGGGAAGACCAGAGACTAGGGAGCGAGAGTGCATGCTACGAAGGCGAGGCAGGGAGGGGTGACCAAGGCGGTGGTGCCACAGGAGAGTGTCGTGCGACAGGCGGCGACACTCACACTGGGTAGCTTCTTGAGCAGACGTGTACAGTTGTGGAGACAAAGGGGTGTAGCGTGAAACAGTGGTGAGGGTGTACAGACTGGACCCCGGCTCACGAGTGAACGTGGCCAGGTGGCGGCCAGTCCGAGAGCAAGTGCAGATCGCCACACGCTGCCCTCCAGGAGTCCAGGTGTCAACCCAGTGATCCTGAAGGACGGCGTTGCTCACCAGGTTCGTAGAGAACGAGGGAACGTGGAGACCTGACAGCTCACTAGTCGGGACCGCCGGGCACGGAAGCACAGTCGTGGCTCGTGCAAGCACTGGTCCCCAGAGGGGTCAGCCAGTGAGACAGGGACAGGTGCAGGGAGGGG